CGTTACTATGGTAACTGTCACAACTGCATGACGCAATAGTTCCTATTTAACTAATGTTACATGACGTATTGCTAATGGGCATCCTACACTCACCCCTCCTATAATTTAAGCTGTCCTTATTATCTTTATATAGCCCAACATTTAACGCTATAGTCTGTACTCATCTTGGCTACTTCTTGGTCAACTGTGTGGGTTGATCAGACTCACAAATATTGAACGTAGACAGTAATCTAAACTAAGTGTTTCTTTATCTTTTCGGGCCCCGCTTTCACTTCTTGTTGGTCAGGAACTTTTCCTGGAACTTTAACTCTTGTAAAGTTTTATTGTTTCTGTTTTCTAACAGTCATTATTCGCAACATGATGGCAATTTCAACAATTTTCGTTTTCTGATTTCGTGACTCTTGATATCAGTGTCTAACACCATATGTTTGATGGCATAATTGGTCCTTGCCAACTTGACCAATATAATGGAAATACAGGTAATGACATGGGAAGTATTGGGGGAAAGAACGGTATTGGGGGAAAGAACGGTATTGGAGGTGTCGGGAGCACAGGGTATTGGTGTAGATACATGTTGTTTGTGGCAGGTGCATGGACCGCGTTAATACTGGTCCAATGTTCCGTTGGTTGGCCCAGATTGCCATATCCCAGTCTGGTTGGTGGTCGTCGTACTCGTTGTGAACTAACTGGGTGTGAATCAACTTGTGTCTCAGCCTCTGCTGCTACCGTGGTACCAGTCGCCGCTTGACTCTCTTGAGCTAGTTCTTCTGGTGTGGCACCTTCTTGTACAGCTTCCTCAACACTCTGCTGGGCTTCATTTTCAACCGACACTGGCACGAATTCATCCTCTGGGTCTGTCCGCGTTGATTGAGGTGCAAACGTAGCAATCTCGAACTCGTCTTCACTATCTGTCAGATAATCTTGTGTGACCTGTTTCTCCTTCTCACTCTTCTTTTTCTTGTTTAACTGAGCTGGTTTCACAATAGGATTCTCCACAGGAAGATACGTACATGGAAATAGCATGTTTCTATGCAGTACTCTTGTCTTCTCTCCGCCACTCTCAGGAATGACTTCATACACGGGAATCTCATTTGATTTCTGACGCACGATTTTGTAAACTTTGTCTTCCCAATACGACCGTAACTTGCCGGGACCACCCCTTTCTTTCACATTTCGTATTAACACACGATCACCGGGTTGTAGACTCGTACTCTTCGCTTTCTTGTCATATTGCACTTTCCCACTCGTAGCGTTCTTTTCGGCCTTTTCAGATGCAAGTTGGTATGCTTCGGACATCGATTCTCGCCATTTCTTGACATATTCAGGATAAGTGCTATGGCCAGGTGGGGGTTTCAGACCATACATAAGGTCAATTGGCAATCGCGGGGGTCTGCCAAAGAGTAGGAGGAATGGGGAGTATCCTGTCGCGTCATTTCTGGTACAATTGAATGCATGTACGACTTTCTGGAGATGATCACGCCAGCGACTTTTGTATTTTTCTGGCAAGGATCGAAGCATTGACAAGAGCGTTCTATTAAATCGTTCAACTTGCCCATTACCTTCGGGGTGATAAGGGGTTGTCCGAGAGTGTTTAATTCCGCTTACTTTTTCCAGGTTAAAGAAAAGTTTATTCTCGAACTCAGCGCCTTGGTCGTGGTGTATCCTCTCAGGGAAGCCATAGCGCAAGATAAAGTCGGTATAGAGCTTCTCTGCAGCGGTCTTGGCTGATTTGTCACGAGTCGCGTAAGCTTGAGCATACCTCGTAAGGTGGTTCATAACAACCAGGATGCATTGATAGCCTCCTACGCTTGTTTCGAGGTGAAGGTAGTCGATAGAAACCATTTGGAAGGGTCCGGTAGTTACGATTGGATGTAATGGTTCACGTTGGTTTCTTACGGGTTTTCGACTCTTTAAGCAATGACAAACTTTCGTGACGTAGTGAGTTATATCTTGTTTCATGTGAGGCCAAAAAAATCGTTCTCGAGCCAAGTCAATGACGCGTTCAGAACCCAAATGACCCATCTCTTCATGTAACTCTTTATATACTTGTTGACGTAGACGTCCAGGTAGTACCACTTGACGGACTGTTCCTGGTAGTCGGTACAGAACTCCATCAGTCCCCACTTTTAACTTATTTCATTCTCTTAACAGCTGCTGTACAGTGTGGCTTTCCTGCTTTCTTTCATGAGGAGACAAATACGTGTTCGCTATTTTAAGTGTTATGACGCGGTCAATATCTGCGTCGTCATTCTGTGCTGTCTTCAAATTTATAGATGCTTGGTTTAAACTAACATCCGCTCGAGTAATCTCAGGAGGAAAGAGCAAAGGTGTTTGAAACTGTTCGACCTGTACTTTTGCTCCACAAACAGTCGCTTGGAAAGCGTCGCGATTAACCTCTTCACTGCATGTTTTCATATAATCGTCAATATTCATAGGCATTCTGGACAATGCATCGGCGTCTCCATTGAGTTTTCCTGGACGATAACGGATGTTGAACTTAAAGTCGGCCAGTTCTCCAATCCATCTTAAGCCTGTGGCATTAAGTCGTGCAGATGTTAAAACGTATGTTAATGGATTGTTATCGGTATAAACCGTAAATTCAGGCGCGTAATATAAATAATCACGGAAGTGGTCGGTGATTGCCCATTTGAGTGCCAGAAATTCTAATTTTCCTGCATGGAGGTGATAGTTCTTTTCTGCATTCGTCAGACTCCGAGAGGCGTACGCAATGACTCGCATTGTCTCTTCCTGTTCCTGGTATAAGACAGCACCTAGACCGTCTTTCGAGGCATCAGTGTGCACGATGTAGGGTTTTTGATAATCTGGATATGCCATAACCGGAGGTGTTATCAGATGATCAATGAGTTTCTCTAACACAGTCTGATGTATCTCAGTCCACGCGATTTTGAATGATGATGGCACTTGACCTTTCTTTCTGGTGTTTTTGTTACCTTTCTCTTGATCATGACACGGGTCTGTTGTTGCTGCTTGTGTAACAAGGTCGTATAATGGTTTAGCCTTTCGCGCGAAATTGGGTACATAACGACGATAGTAACTGAGTAATCCAAGCATTTTCCGAAGATCTCCTATTGTATGAGGAGTATTGTTCTTTAGACTCGCAACTGCGTTAATGTTCTCGGGATCCATTCTGTAGCCATCTTTCGACACTACTCGACCGAGGAATGTGACTTCACGTTTGAACAATTTACATTTTCTTTGCTTTAATTTGACACCGTGTTCTCTTAGGCGACGTAAAACTGTTCGTAAGTGTTCGACATGTTCGTCGAATGTTCTACTAAATACAATCACATCATCCAAATAAGGAATGGCAATTTCATCACGTAATTCTCCTAAGCACTGTTCCATGAACCTCTGAAAACTTGCTGGGGCGTTCATAAGACCGAATGGAATTCTTACCCATTCATATAACCCCCAGGGTGTCACAAATGCTGTTAACGGTCGGCAGGATGGTTTCACAAATCCTTGATGATACGCCTTACCCTGGTCCAATACACTAAACCAAGCGTTACCACCTAAACTATCGAGAGTTTCTTGGACGCGCGGAATAGGATGCCTATCTGGCACTGTCTTACGGTTAAGTTCTCTATAATCGACACAAAGTCGCAGAGTTCCATCCTTTTTGCGAATACATACTACTGGGGATGAATAAGCTGATTTTGACTCTCTTATAAACTCGTTATTTAACAAATCTTCAATGTACTGTTTTACTTCGGGGTAGAGAGGTCTTGGTACCGATACATAGTTCTTTTGCACTGGCTCGTTTGTTGTCAAATTTATTTCTAGTTCTAGATCTTTGATATAACCGATATCCTCATCATTTCTTGCAAAAGAGTGACATTCGTCCTTCAACATGTTAGTAACTACTTGACGTTGACGTTCTGTTAATCCACTAAGGTCAACTTCAGGTAAAAACTGGTCATCATTTGTATTGTCTCTTTCTCGAGTTTCTTTCGCCATTGCATTCACTTGGGATTGTGTGGCTGTTACTGTTCGTTCTTTCTCTTTGCTTGACTTTTCTGCCAACTTCACTTCTACAGGTGTAATCGATTTAATTAACTGAAGACTTCCTAATACTGTGTGTTTACGCACGACAATGTCATGATTAGTTGTATTAGTCACATCTATCTTTACTTGAGACGTTGAGCCTTGTTTCACTGTTGTTACCGTTTCATGCACCGATAAACCGTCTGGCCAGGGCGTTAATTCGTCCGGTTCAAACAATACAAGTGTAGTTTCTTCTACCGGTCCAGTATTCGCTCGACAGTTAACTTTAAATGTTTTCTTTGCCGGAATAACAAAGTCTTTCTTTGGGCTCTTAATCGTGCATAGTTCATTTGCTCTTGCTGTCTGTATCAGTCTAACCAATTCGAGTAACACTTTCTCATCAAAACCTTGAAAACTAGCTTGTACTGTAGCAATATGTGCTGACTGAATATCAGATGTATTCATCGGCTTGATTAGTTCTTCAATAACATTGTATCCAAGAATGGGATATTCTAAACTGTCGTTTGTTACTAAGAAAGGAACCATAACCGATGGATCTTTTTCTTTTGATGAAATCAATCTAACTTCTATCTCAGTCCAACCACTATACGCAATTCGTGTACCATTAGCTGCTGTTAAATCCAATTCACCATTAATAAGTTCTGAAATGTTCTTTATAACATTTTTAGGAAAGTGTTTTTCTATCATTTCCTTGGACACAATAGATACTTGTGCACCCGTATCCCATAATACTGTTGACTCAAATTCATTTAGAGAACACTTTACAGTGCACCGTCTTCCTACTAGCTTAGCAATCTTTGCATGCTCACTAGGAGTTAGGTGACTGGTAAATGTCTTATTATTGCTGCGTGTTTTGTTTTGACATGTCCATGTTAGGTCCCGAAGAGTTTTACAATTGTTCCTATGATCATTCCAGTGTCTTTTCTGGCAATTTCTTGAACAATAAACTATACATTTGCATTGTGCACAACAGTACAATGTCATTTGATCATCGTCCTTGCCACAATAACTACATCTTTGGGACCGCAAACTTCTTTCGGCTACTTCTGGCCCCGGAGAGGCAGCCTCCTGGAGTTTAAAGTATTCTTTCCACGATTCTGTCGACATCCAATTGCAAAATGATTGTCACTTCCACAAATAAAACAATGAGAGCATTTGTCATTTCCACTAGTTTGGCACTGCAAGCATTTTGGCGGCATATTTTTTCTCTGGTTTCTAGTGTCTACTGGCGCAGGTGAATTTGGTAATCGAGCTTGTTCAGTTTCTTGGTTGATATCCTTCAACTCTTAACTTGTGCCACTTCAACTTTCAGTGCTTCCAGAGTCTTTAGAATTTTATCTTGGGGCTCAGCTTTCTCTGCTACCTGGGAAACCTGGGCAGGCTTTGGGCGGTTCTGGTTTCTTAGTTTTCTTACCCGTTCATTCTCTGTCGACACTGCATTATTTACTTGCAAAATAAGCTCCTCATCTGATATTGTGGGGTTTCTGAGGTACCCCCTAACCCTTATTCTAACATTTTCATCTTGAAGGCCATTTTCAACAGTACGTAGAAACAGCTTTTGAATATGATCATTTTCATAAACCAAAGTGTCCTCACTTTGATCTTGAGTGCTTGAAAACAGGATTTTCTGGCGTAAATCCAAGGCACGCATAAGGAATTCTTGTGGTGTTTCCTTTGACCCTTGACATATTGATGCAAGACTTTGATATAGCTCAGTTGCACTTTTTACATCATAATGGTTTCGAAGAATTTTTCGTAACCGCTCTAGAGATAGATCCTTGTAAGTTTCTACATAACTTCGAAGAACCATTCCACCATTAATTGCACGAATAACACCGTCCACAATTTCCTGTTCTGTGTACCTCTGTTTAACCCCAGTGTCTATTTGTCTTGTCAGGGATGTGAAACTCAACTTGTCTTTCTCATTTGGCTGTCCAATTTGTCCCACAATCTTAAATTGTCGACGAAATACACTTGTAGATTCTAACATACCTTGCAATGTGCTTTGACTTTGTCCTGCGTTTTGTTTTACAGGGGGTACTGATTCTGAAACATCTTTTTCTTTTGGTTCTGTGCTCTTAAAGTAACGTGAGCGAAATTCTGTCAAGAATAACATTCGTTGTTCCTCGTTTTTGTCCATCAATTCTTTATCAATATGGTTAAAAATCATGCAAACAATTGTACTTTTCCTTTGTTCGGAAATATCAAGTTCAAAATCCTTTGCCATAGCCTGGAGCGTTTCTTCGGGTGCTTGGCAAACCGTTGTTTGCATCTCTACTTGTAGTTCTTCAGCCATAATCGCCAGCAAATCACCAAAAGCAAAGATCAAAATACGAAAATCAAGAATTTAGAAAAGCGTAGAAATCATACTTTTTCCTTCGCATTCACAGCTTCTTTTATGTATAAAAAGTCTCGGTGGGACCTCCAATTTGTTGCCCGCTCACTAAATTCTCGATCTATTCCATAATTCAAGTATTAAAACAGTAGAAAGCACAATTTATTTCGTAAAACAATGCGAACATTAATAACAACGTGGTTGACTAATCGCCATCTTGAAAACCTGTTTGTCTGTCCCATTGAACTATAAATAAACTGGAAGGCTAACTCAGGGGGGGAAATTGAAGCCAGTGCATTTTAGTTTTTCTGAGTTATGAGCAGAAATACTCAACACTGAACGTTGGGCTATATATCAAATTGAAGCTATTGAAAAATGCTATTTGGTGTAGAAATTTCAAGACTTTAGCTAAAAGGGAAATATTGAAAAACTACAAACATAATTACCGATAATTTGCCGTTTTGCAGTTGTTTTTGTATTTTTTAAATATTTTTCTTTTCGCTGAAGTCTTGAAATTTCCACACCGAATAGCAATTTTCAATAGCTTCAATTTGATATATAGTCCGACGTTTGGGGTCAAGTATTTCTGCTCATAACTCAGAAAAACTATTTTGGCTTCATCAAATCATAGGCCTTTATCATAGCAGTTAGCCTTCCAGTT